TTAGACTATCTATTTTAAGTTCTCTTAATATCTAAATATTTCCATAATTACATAATGCTACCATTTAGTACGATCTTTATAACTGAACAGAATTTTTCTGATATTTTCTAATGAAAGTATTGGCTAAAAACTACTAGCTATTGAAATTTTATAAGAGTCGATGTAGGTATAGAGAAGATCGACATTTCACATTCACACACCTTCATTCCTAGTTACAAGTTCCGACGATTTTTACGTGTTTTCTTGCTGAAATTGGTCCATGCACTTTCGTATGTGTCTTGAAAAATTTTCTTTTGTCAACATAATCTAAGAAAAGATTTAGCAAAATTTCTTTGGATATACCTCTAGAAAACTCATCGTAAGTTTTTTCGAACGCATCAATCCTTTTTCAATTCAGAATCGATTATGTTTTTCGAGACTGTAATATTTCCTCACAATTTTCCTTCACTTGCCATCATTAATTTCTACAAGATAAATTGGTTATGCATAAATATATTGTACAATAAAATTTTGCAACATTTTGTTCATGCGATAAAACATACGGTTATTCAGTTAGAGTCTTTATGTAGAAATTAAAAATCAAATTTTCATTTTTAATGTAGAAATATATTCCAGTCTATTTTCGCAGTATGACAATTACATAACTGACAAAAACCTTCTATTGATTATGAACAAGTTAAATCAATGAATAAATCTAATCGAACAAAAACAAAAAGACAATTCACTTCTATGATGGTAGATATAGAACAATTTATTGATATACTTATCAATAATTACAAATATTTCAGAAATTCTTTACATTGCAAAAGTTAATGAAATTAAAGGATGAAAATGTACCAATTGCATTCATCGTATAGAATTCGATACATTCATCTCACAGATTCAAGAATAAAATACGAAAAATTTCATTTTCTTCTCTCTCGGTTATCACATAAATTGAAAGTTTAAAAATTTCTTTGAACGTACCAACAAATATGATCATTAGATGTCCAAAAGAAACGTTGATGAGAGAAACTAGAAACAATAAACTCTGAAAGTATGGAATTAATAAATGTTCACTATGGAGACACAGAAATTTCGCTTTTTTCAGGTCTGTTTCATGATAATGTTGACCCGTAGCTCTCTATAGGTAAATGTCGATCAACATTAAAATTGTTTTGAATGATCGACAATCAAGTACCACAAATTAAACACAAGCAGATTTCATTTCCTGCTTGACGACATCCAGCATAGTTGACTCATTTTTGGAGATGCATAAGACTGATTGGTACCTATTTGAGTATTGGAAACTGTCATTTTCTTATTTTGGCAGTTACGAATATGTGTAAATAGTGAATCAGTATCAGAAGACGATTTATAAGTATATCTTCACATTGACTACATAGAATATATCCCTGCTTGATATCGTTTTCATAAATATAACAAAGACTATTCCATACAGCTGAGGATTTTGACGTTACTGTTAGATTGGTGATGCTTTTGTATGAAGGAAAGCAGTATAGAGCCTTCTTGCTGACATAGAAAATTCAAAATGTCAATGTCAAAGCCTTTTATAAGTTTGTGGATCGAGTTTGAAATTTTCGATGAAGCAATGGAAAGATTTACTGTGCATGACTTATTCTGTGAATATTCCTGGTTTGTGTTATGTTGGGTTTCAAAAGATGTGTGTGTGTGTTGTGAGCAAGCGGGAAGCAGGAGACTCCAGTTTCTTGGAGTCTTGTAAAATTCTTGCCTATCTTCAGAAATCCATTATAGAAATATGATGCCTCTATTTTTCATTTGTTTCTGTCATCTGTACTCTCAGATAAAATATTTATTGATGTTGATTTAGAGACAAGCATCAGCACATTCATCTATTCCAAAACTTCAAAGTCAGTAAATGGTGTTTATTTTATTGAAAAAATTCAAGAAAGTGTTACATAGAGAAAAAAAGAATCAATTTTTTTTATTAGTCTGTTCTACACGAAGCAATCGGTCATTTGAAATTTTACTTATTTCGTCGGTTAATAACCAACAAGCAGTTTGTTTATGCATATATTTTATATCATCATCGGTTGCAACTTTAAAGTAAGAATGTTCTATGTGGGTCTCGACCGTATTGAAGATTTTTATTACAACATAGTCTTCTTTTGTCGTACTTAATAAATTTCAAGTATCATCTTGTTCGTCGTCATCAGTGTAATCAGCATTAGAGAAAAAATTATCATTATTGCCATCATCCATGTTGAGATCATCCGTTGTTTCATCATCATCATCGTCTATATTGCTCAGTTGAGATGAGTTAGTCATGCATTTTTGAATTTGAATTTAGCTGTTTAAATGCATATTCACTTAGTAAGTGTAAGCCAAGAGCACGCTTGTTTTTCGGCAAATTCAATATTTCTAAACCATCAAGCATATCAATAGCTTCATGGTAGGCATTGCTAATAACTTGTTCGATATCTATTTGATCAACATCGCTTTGACTCTGTGTAAATGATAATTGACGATCATTTCGATGTTTGTAATGAACTGGAAAGACGAAATTATTAACTGGTTCATCATTTTATTGTTTAAATTTAATATCATTCAATAATGATAATCTTTGGGCACGTCATAAAAAATTATGTACTGTAGAGTTGACTATTGTTGAATAGATTCCACTCAATGCTCGCGTGTTTCTAAAAATCAATTCATAAGCTTGCGAGCTAAAAGTATGAATATGCAGTACGTGTGGGAGTAACTATATTTGTTAAACAAGTAACAATAAATATAATGAATTATGTGCATTTATTTCCACAGATAAATATGCTGGTTTAGTAATAAAGTATCAGCTTTTTATGTTTTTTGTGAATTGCGTTGAATGGAATGTTTTGAGTTTAATCCATGTAAACCATATTCGATAGAAAAATACGACACACCAAGCAGATCGAAGCACTTTAATAAAATTATATTACGTGTGACACATTCTGAATGAAGAGTTTTCCACTCTCACGCAATGAGTATGGTAAATATCCATACTTACGTTCAGCAATCGTTGTTTTTTTTATCGATATAAGTCACTACAATCATTTTTAACATCTGAAGATAAATCAAAGCTCATTGAGTACTAATATTATCATTTAAAATTTTAAATAAATCAGTAGATGTTAATTTTAAACAGGAACTAAAACTGTGACGATCTTTAGCGTTAATATCAGATTTCATTAAGCTATGATCAAGTTTAGTATAAGTTTTATTATCGACAATGTCATGTAAATGATTGATCGATATAAATTGATTGCCAAGACGTAATTCAGCTGTTGATGATAATAAACGATTACGCCATTGTAACCAGAAGAGTGGCGTCGTAAAAAAACAATAACAGTTGTTGTTCACGTAAATAAAACTAAGGCCAATGCGATGTTGTTTTTATCTGAAAAGCCCGTGGATATTGATGAATTTGAAAATTAGGAAGTGACCAAAAAAAAAACACTCATTAATCTCATGGTATGTACATATTTAGCATCAGCATCTATAAAAAAGAAACAGCTACTCTTTAGTAAGATTTGAGTTAACAATATTTAGTTATTTTCTCACCAGTAGAAAAACCAATAATTCTGATATTTCTTTGTAAACATTGATTGAATATATACCACCATCTTTGTAATATATCATTTGCTGTAGCTATGTTATCTATTCCATTTGCTGATAATAAAAAAGGACTTGGAATAATGCTTTGATTTGTGGATTGTATTGGTTGAATCATATGTAAGGTGCACCAAGGGCAAAAAAGGAGCACTTTTTATTTTTCAAGTTTTTTTACATCATCTGATAGAGCTCGCGATGCTGATTCCGAATATGTGCTTTTTAGTTTTTTTNGTTCATTAGGTAATGATCATCAATTAGATGCAACAGAATGTCAAAATCTTGCACAAACGGTAAAAATACGACATGTTTGAAAATAAAACTGTCTATAAATTCATCTGTTTTATAGCTTGAACAAAAACTTGGCTTACCAGCTGGTACAATTGCTATCGATGCAGCTGCAATTGCAACAGTACCAAGAAACCGTAAACGACGAGGATAGTGTGTATTTTGGCAAAAAAATGATTGAAGAAAAACCAAATATAGTAAATATTTTGATTTAATTTTTACAGTGATCCTGCACGATTTCGTCGTGGTGAAACATCTCGTGGTTTCCAACGACTTTATATAATTTTACGACTAGCACGTGCTAAATGCTTTCAATGTAAACTACGTCTTAAACCTTTCATCATAATTTTAACAGTGTCCTTTGGGGGAAATACATTTACACAACCTATTACTATAAATATGTGTACCACACGTATGTTAAACATATAATATGTACAATAATGAATTAATTAAATTTATATCATTTTATTACTTTTAGCTTTTACAATTCCGGCACTCTTGCCTCCTATTACTTCAACAGTTCAAACAACTACAAGTGCGAACGCGAATATAGGTGTTACTACAAATGCAATCGGTTAATTTTATCCAAAAGATATTCATTGTACATATCTTTTTTTAACTTGAACAATACTTTTAAAAAGAAGACAATCTCATGTAATAAGAGATTTATTATTATTCAAAATGATTATGATATTTGCATATATATTGTATGTTCTATTAATAAACGAGATATTTATTATTGAAGATAGTAAAATCTACTATTATTTATCATTATACATTTTATCAAAAAGAAACGCAGAAAGAGATTCAAACGATTTGTTTTTTTTTCTTTTCTTTTAATTCTTGTTACTTTTAAGTTAATTGATGGATATCCTCATTGACTTGTATGAATGACTAATATATTACTCATGTTTATCACATTTGTTTTTACTTAAAATAACTTTCGATACATTACTTTTTCTTTGTTTATACGAGCGTATTCAGCTATGATTAATGATTCATAAATAGAAAAAGCCATTATTATTACTTTGGATTGAAAAGAAATGAGAAACGTAAGATAAAGGTTATCGAATCGCAAAAGTTTTCTCCAACTAAAGTAACTCTTCATATTGCACATGAAGAAATGTATACATTGTGTCCTAAAACCTCTTCTAAATACCTCTCTTATACATTTTAAGCCATTTAGTTACTTTCTTTTTTAATAATATGATAATATATTTATCCTTTTTGAAATTATTAAAGAAATACATTAAAAAGTTCGCTTTTTTCAAATTAGTTTATTCTCGTTATCGATTCTTATTTTGAATTGAAACAAATGGTTATATATGTCTTATATACATAGATTTTTACTTTATATTCATCGATAAAAACAAAACGAATTCTTCTGATTGTGAATGTTTTCTAACATTTATAGTGAAATCTGAGAACTTGAATTCAATCTTGTGAAACTTCTTCATGTAATTGTTGAACTGATTGCACTTTCTATGGCTTCATCGAAACACATTAAATTATAATTAGGCTTGATAATGTTGTAGGATCAGGCAGGCTATCGTAACAGCCCGAACACTCGATGATGACACCTTTTCACAAGTTTCATAAATTTCCTCTTTTTTCTCTTTTGTAGCCTTTGAAAGGTCTTTCGTATATTTGTTCATTTGCTTTACTTTACTTTCTCGAAGTAAAAAAAGATAAAGTGCTACTACCAATCTATGCCTGACGTTTATAGACCAAATTTGACTTAGATTTTCGTCTCACAACAATAGATGACTTAAAATAGACCTATAATAAAAACTATTTTTATTCTAATGTTTATAAGCATATACATTTATCTACAAATATGCAGAACAAAAGAATACATTGCAGTATTATTAAAATATATATATATATAAATCACTTGATCTGTGTAAGTGTTATTTAAGTAAACTTTTCGCACGAAGTTCTTAGAAGACCTTGCAAATAAGAAATTAACGATTTGTAAGATATTGTTAATGTGGATTCAATGGCATGTTAGAATCTAAAAAGTGTTTAGAACGTATGTAGTTGAGCTCTCACGACTTTTCTTCTTTCAATTTTCCAGTTTAGACTTAATCAAATCATGACACAAACAATATTAAAAACAAAAAAGTATATCTAGATTCATGATATTTCTTCGTTATTTATACTTATGTTTCTTGAGATATTACGGGATGATTTCTTTTACGATAAACATTGATGTTGATTATTTATTAATTGAAAGAGAAATAAAATATTCTTATACAGTAAAATATCCTATACTGAAGACTTCTCTGAAGTGATTCACAGCTTTTGAGCTTATATTTTATGCATATAGATGGAACTTCTAGACTAGAATAACACCAAAAGGATTTGCGCCCATGTCTTTATCTGTCCTAAAATATTGAATTTTCAAGTTCCTGGAAAATACAATAATGTTGACCATATATCATTGTACCATATCACAAACAAAACCGTAGTACAAGCTAAAAGTGTTCTGATAAATGTATCTAATTATCAGCATATTATTCTGAAGTTTTTATATGTTTAAATCGTCATTGTATTTCATGATAGTTTTGTTTTTGTAAACAAAACATTTTAACTGATTAATCAGTTGGAAAGTGGAAGAAAAAAAGTATTGTCGTCATTTTGTTAAGTTATTTTGTCTCTCATAATAAAGACTACGTTGTGATTATTGTGATACGCATTAGCTCGTTGTGCTACATGTGATTCACCTTTGCCTTTTTCGTTTAATATTTGTTATTTTTACACCACCGTTTAACGAGAATGATGACTAATCCCACAAAAATTGAAAAACTACTGGTAGCTAGAATGACTAAAAATAAAAGTGCTGATTCTGAAAATGGAGTCAAAATCTAAAGTTACAAGTCGGGCTGCTAGTAATATTATTTTGAAAAAGAAACAGAAATAAGAAGTTTCATTTAGTAACAGGAAAAAAAATAATCAGATGATGAAGATGTCTTATAACAAACTTATTGTATCCAAAAGATGACTCATATATCATTTACTTTTATTGATGTTTTAAATATTTCATTATGAAAGAAAAAATATATGCTCAACTGGTCATTTTCGAACTAGGAGCTTTTATTTAGGTGGAGATTAGCATGAATAAAAAGATTTTTTTAAATTAAATATCAAATTCAAAGCTTTGTGAAATCGATTTCAAATTTGGATTCCTCGATTCCGAAAATCTTTGATCAAACTTTATAAAGGATCGCTGTTTTCTTCAAAAAACTGTTGAGTGTTATGATATGCATGACTCATTCTCCATTAATATTGTATTTTTTCCTAGTCATATAACTTGTAGAACACCGCTGATATAATTTTACTTAATTGTATAAACTATATCGATACTCAAGTATTAAAAAAAACATATAAACTGTAAATATATCATAAGTGAAAGTACATAGGTAAAGCTTTATCATTGTTTCTTTTGTCAGTTGATTCTATAAGAAATTCTTGTACCAGTGAAATCGAATTATAAAAATCATCAAATGCCATTTGAACACGAAAAAGATTTTTCGAGAATAAGAAAAATTTCAACAGATTCATTTCTAACGAAAATATATAATCTCATTGCATTTACATACTCGATATATATACACAAATTAAAGATCTTCTGATATGAATAAATACATTCTTGACAAAAGTAACTGTCTCCCATGAACTCCATTGATTCAAATGTATTTGAGTTATGATGCAGACACCATTTTAGAATAGAAAAATGACAAGCAAAAACTGGTTGAGGGCATATTTTCATTGAATATGTTTTTCACAAGAAAAAAAATATGTATGAATCATAAGTTCAATACATACAAACTGGTGAAGAGCGAAATAGTGCTTGAGATTTGTTTTTATTGTCGAATACATGCATCCAAAATATTCGCTCAATACTATAAAAAAACTAGTAGAACTTTATGGAAGGTGACTATATTTGTCCAGGATTGTAATTATCTATGTGAGTATTTGTAATAATATTTATCTAAAGTGTTCAATCAAGTATTTAAATTAATTTGTTAAATATTAGAAAGATCCCAGAAATATCTTTCTAATAAAAAGGAATTTAATCATATAATCTCTTTCTTTTATTGATTTTTACCGTGTTTCGGTCATCTCACTAATATAGCATATAAAAAAAAACAAGAATAAGAAATGTATGCATATAAGTTACATGTTGAAAAGATACAATTCTAATCTCGAACAATATATTTGTTTTTGAAAGAATAAAATTAAGAAAGAGATTGAAATTTTAACAGATTATAAAAAACGTTTAGTCAATCTGAATTTCATTCATTTTTTTTTAGAATCAATTGTTTCTTTATCATTTTTAACAAGCACTGCTGAGGAATTTTGCTCAAACACGCACGCAACCAATGCTGCACCTTTGCCATTACCTAAAAATTTTCAATAAATCATTATATTCATCATATACGAACAGCATAATCCAGGAGGAAACGGCGGAATCCAATCCTTTGGAGTCCAATGGAGTTCCATAGAGTCCCTTGAAGTCCGATGGAATTCTTTAGAGTCTCGTGCAATTCCTGTCAGATCTTCAGAAGATCGTTATAGAAACTTGATACTGCTATATCTTGCTCTTTCCTAGCATGTGTAACATTGAATGAAATAGTTATTAGCCTTGATTTAGAGACAAACGTACACTATATCTTTATCTTATTGGTTATCAGCACATTCATTTATTCTAAAAATTAAAAATAAACAAAATGTCGTTTGTTTGATAGTAAAATCCAACAATATGTTACATAAAGAAAAAAACATTCGCTTATTTTTTTTAAATTAGTGTCTTTACCCGAAGTGATCGTTCGTTTGAAAGTTTACTTTTTCCGTCGGTTAATAACCCACAAGCAGTCTGTTTATGTATATATTTTGTATAATCATTAATTGTAACTTTTGACATAAGAATGTACTATATGAGGCTCAACTGTATTGAATACTTTTATTCCAACAAAGGTTTATTTTATCGTATTTATTACATCTCGAGAATCATCTTGTTTGTTGTCATCAGTATAATCATCATTACAGGAAAAACTATCATTATATTCATCATCCGTGTTGAGATCATATGTTGTTCCGTCATCATCATCATCAGTTAATTCGAATTCTCCATCATCTATATTGTTTATTTGAGATGAGTAGTCATACATCTTTGATTTTGAATTTAACTGTTTAAACACATATATTCACTTAATAATTTTAAACCAAGAACACGTTTATCTTTCAGCAAATTAAATATTTCTAGGCCATCAAGCATATCAATGGCTTCATAGTAGGCATCGATAATAACTTGTTTGATATCTATTTGATCAATACCTCTTAGGCTTTGTGTAAAAATGATGATTGACGATCATTTTGATGTTTGTAATGAACTGTAAAGAGCAAGTTATTAACTGATTCTTCATTTAACTATTTCAATTTAATATAATTCAATAATGATAATCTTTGGGCACGTTGTAAAAAATCATGTACTGTAAAGTTGACTATAGTTGAATAGATTCCACTTAATGCTGGAGTATTTCTCAAAATCGATTCATAAGTTTGCGATTTAAAATTATGAACATGCAGTACATGTGGCGGTAACTATTTTGTTTAACAAGTAAAACTAAATGTAATAAATAATGTACATTTATTTCCACCGATAAATATGCTGGTTTAGTAGCAAAGTATCTGCTGTTGTTGTTTTCTATAGGTTGCGTTGAATTGAACATTTCGGGTGTAATCCATATAAACCATATTCGACAGAAAAATACGACACATCTAGCAGATTGAAATTCTAAAATAGAATTTTATTACGTGTGACATATTCTAAATGAAGAGTTTTCTGCTCTCACTCAATGAATATGGTAAATACACATACTTACGTTCAACAAGCTTTCTTTTTTCTCAATACAAGCCACTATAATCATTTTTAACATCTGAAGATAAATCAAGGCTCCCCAGATACTATATATTATCATTTAAAATTTTAAATGATCAGTAGATGTTAATTTTAAACAGGAACTAAAGTTTTGATGATCTTTAGGGTTAATGTCAGATTTCGCTAAGCCATAATCAAGTTTAGTATAAGTTTCGTTATCGATAATGTCATATAAATGATTGATCAATATGAATTGATTGCCAAGACGTTATTCAGCTGTTGATGATAATAAACAATTACGCCATTTTATAATCAGATGTGTTGCGCCTTGAAAAAACAATAGTAGTCGTTGTTCACGAAAATACAAGCAAGATCAACCTGATGCTGTTTTTATTTGAAAAGTCTGCGGATCTTGATGAACTTGAAAATTAGCAAAGAGACCCAAAAATAATCACTCATCAATCGCATAGCGCTTAGATACTTGGCATCAGCATCTATAAAAATAAACAGTTACTCTATAGTAAGATTTGAATTAATAATATTTAGCTATTTTCTCACCAGTAGAAAAAGCAATAATTCTTATATTTCTTTGCAAACATTGATTGAATATATACCATCATCTTTGTAATATATCCTTCGCTGCAACTGTGCTATCAGTTCCATAGGGTGACAGTAAAAAAGGATTTGGAATAATGCTTTTATTTGTGGTTTGCACTATTTCGAACCATATGCACATTGAGTAATGATGATTTTTCAATTAAATTAAACCATATTTTCCATGCGTCAAATGAATCCGTTTGATAATATTCTTGACTTGGCACTCCACGATCAAGTCGTGTAGGAAACCTATTGAATATATTTGTTGTTGAATCGTTTTTATCTTTTTAATTATAGGGTGGTATCTTCCGAGTCGAATGCATATTAAACATTAAGATCATCCAAATGTTTTTGAAGCTGGTCGAATTGAAACTCTTCTTCGCTAAATTTTGAATTTAAATTTGAAATCATTATATTAAACATAGTTAAATTCGATAAAGAGCCTGGTAAATTTAATTGAATAAATTCATATGTTAATTTTCCACCTAAAATATATAGTAATAGAGCAAAGTTCTTGATTGTATCGCTACATCGAAAATAATTGCTTGACTTTGTCAAGTTGCTAGTGCTTGTATCAATAAAATCTTTTAAAAATCCATGTTTATCTTTATTAGCAGCACTATCATTACCAACGCACTGATATCAAAGAATCAAGTTTTTTAACAATAGATGTTTATTGATAAAATGGAATGATAAACTTGGACTTGCATCAATATAGCTACTTTACATTATTTTCTTTTGCTGTTGCTGTTTTAAAAAAATCAAGTAAATAATGTAGATTTTTCATTAATCCAATTTTTACAATAAATTGACCGTCATCAAGCTGCGAACCTGATTTTCCTCTAATTGGTAAGAAATTATGCTCGGTACATTTCATATTAAATATCTCAAAAATATTCAGATTTCGAATTAAAGATTGTATAAATGTTATTGATTGAAACTTCAAAACATCCACTATGTGTTGTCCAGATAATCCGTGAATAAAACCATAAAAGTCATCGTTTTTTAAAGAAAACAAGCTTTCTGTCAATGTATTATCCATAAGAAGAAAAATAACGAGTTTTTTTTGTCTATCTAGAAAAAAACGAAAAAAAATGGGTTGGATAATGATAGTTTAGAATATGTTTAAAGACTGAAATTCACAACATTTTTTAAAATTCTAGCTGGTAAACAGCTGTGATGAATCATATGTTGATAATCGCTTTTCATGTACATCGTTTACGAGGGAAATTTATTTTTATAGATAATTAATAACCAAACATGTTTCAACTAAATGTTCTTATTGATGCATCTGTATTACTATCAAATGTAATGTCATTACTTGATAATAAGTTTGTTGATTTCGTTAAAGAAGAAGCCGGTCATGCTGCTGTCGCTCTACTTAAAATACAACGTATTAGTTGTGTAAAATCATTGTTGATGACAGATAATGTTTATTCTATTTATGGACGTGAAGAGTAAAAGTCTAAATGGTGTTAAAAACATATATGGTTATATGCAAGATGATGGTACATTTGTTGGGTCTAGGACAGTTAGTCGTACGGACAGTTGGGCGCGGACATTTGCTCGCTAGCACACTTGGTCGCTAGGACGGTTGCTCGCTAGGACACTTGGTCGCTAGGACAGTTGCTCGCTAGGACAGTTGCTCGCGACGTATAGCTTAGAAAGAATGTGAAAGTCAAAAAAGAAATAAATACTATTCGTGATAATATAGAGTATCAAACAGAGAACAGTGTAGCGAAATTTGAATAATAATTTAGCAATAATCTAACAACAAATATTCACAATGTCGAATAATACAAGAGAACGAAAATACAAATTTTATAGAGACAATAAACGTCCAACGCATGTTAATTGGTCATAAAAATTTGAATGCGGATTTTCAATCAGTTGTTTGAGTCGTCTATTGAATGATTCATATTTTCCTACCGGTGGTTGTCTTCCTGTCATCGCATTAATAATGTCCGAATGTATGTTGTTTTCTTCTTTGATCAATTTGTCTAAAAATGTCCATAAAGATGGATGACTACATTGAAAAGCGCAATTTAATTTTCTATGCCAACCCTCGAAATTATTATTGGTTCGATGTAAATCACTTTTGACACGTGTTACTATATTCCAAAAATCAATTGGATAAGATACTTGTCTTCTTGTACGCCCACGTAATCGTCCGATATAATTATCCCCTATATAATCTAATAACTGTTGATAATCATAATCAAGATTCGAACATAATAATACAAAACCATCGATAACCATAGAGGGTTCAATAAATGCTAATGCTATTATCTTGTGTATGTTATCAGCAAATGTCACATCTGTCTCATACAGTTGCTTGAAACCGTGTGTCTAAATACATAACATCAGCAATATAGAATTATAAAAACTTTTATTATAGAAATAATTTACCAGGAGAAACCGAGGAACACTTTGACAGATGTGAAAGTAGCAACCACTTAATTCGACTACTGGAAACGCACGATTAAATACATTTATTGTAGCTTTTTCGAAATCCATCATTACTCTCTGTGGTTGCCATGCTGGCGCCAACTGGATAATTTCATCAACCATTACTTGATAAATTTCTTCCTTCTTCGATGATAAAAGAATAAATGTCACTTGTATAACATGATCACGATAACTGGCGTGTATAGCAAATAATTGAAAAAAGATTTGTGGTACTACTTTGAAAGTACCATCGATGAAAAATTCCTTTAATAGAAATGATTAATCGGTTAAAAGTAATATTTTGAAACTTACTGTGGCATTTTCTATGATCATTTTTTGTTCATCGGTAAAAAAGATTCATAATCGGTTGGAACCTTGACCAACATCTTTCTGAAAAAAGATGTTGTCACGAGTTGTTTCATGATATTTTTGTGGAATAACAGGAAAGTCAATGCTTGTTGGTGTTGGTTCTGTAGTATTTTCTTGTCGCCAACGACGAATATTTCGTTTTAAATTGTGGTTATTTGGTAATTGAATACGCACCTCATCTGGCACGCCGATAGTTGCTTGTGTTAAAATATTATGCGGATTTGTTTGATTTTGTTCTGATTCTTGTCTTAATTGTTCCTAATATTTACGAGTTGCTTCACATCGTGGATTACCAATATGATTTTCATGCTCACCAACTGTTTTAATAAATTCATAATTTAATTTTGTATGTAATCGGTCATGACAGAAATGTTTTCTGGAATATTCACATTTTCAAAGAATTTTTGTCTCACTTTTCCGATCAATTGTATATGAATAGCCATCGTATATTAATAAAGGTGCATTTTTCGATGTTTTTGATAGAGCAACTCACATTATTACTGTTTGTGATGTCATTCTGCTAATTTTTGTCACTTATACATACACATTTCGTTGATTACGACTTGTCATTACATTAGAATCATGAAATTGAGAAATATTGCAACAATTAAATCAATTAGTCAATGATGATGATCATTCTCAAATAGAAAATTATTCAACTGGGTCATTTTATTTTGTTATTTTAGTCAAACTTTTTCTAAAAGCATACACTGCGAGCAACTGCCCCAGTGAACAACTGTCCCAGTGAGCAACTGTCCATGCCCAACTGTCCGTGCGACAAACCGTCCGTTTCCCCATTTGTTATAGAACCTGGAATAAAGGGAAACGTAGAATATCTTATTGATTTGCTAAAGAAAAAATGTATTGATAATGCAAAATTAGCTAAATTTTCAGAAAGTACTAAATTATGATGATAACTAGATAAAACCACAAACGCATCATCAACAATAACAAAATCAACGTCGTCTGTTTCATTCAATAGTTCATAAGAAAGGATAGCATCAAAATCTCCTAATTTATGAGTTAATGAACATAAAATATATGTAATTGACACGTTGAATAACTGATGCGAAAACAATAAATCAAAATTTAATCTTCTACAATTTTCTTCACTTGAAAATCAACATTACATTATATTAATACCAAATGATTCAAATGGCGTATTAAAAGGTGATATAAAATGCTGCGGTGAAAAATGGTTATCATTATCGTTATGGCACGACAAGTTTCAAATCTCGAACTTCTACCGTCATTTCCAAGGTTCACGTAATGGTTATGTGTCTCATACAATGAAAGAAATGATCAATAATCATCAATTAACATCATCATTATCAGCAAATAATCAACAATCATTTACAACATCAGAAAATGTACCTCAACAAGCATCATCACCAAAAATAATCGTACCTACTATACTAATATTAGTCGTAATTTCATGAAATTCAACTTCATCTAAATTATTTGCTGTCCCAACATCAACAGGTAACGATGAAAGTATTATAATACAATCATCATCATTAACAATTAAGAGACAAGTAAAAAGAAAGGTTCAAACAATAGAATATTCATAAAACACAATAGAATCAGCAACAATAACGAGGAGAAGAAAATAAGATTTACATACGAAACATTATCTTGTTTGTACTTCTCCAATTACTTCTTTAATGGTTTCTTATTCAATAAGGTTTTATGTCAAACTGACGATTTTTAAATTAGCAATTCATTTATTGTTCTCTTATATGCTTGATCTGTTAAATAATTGGTTATTTTTACATTTATACGTTGGTTTTTTTAATATTTTTTAATTTTACCAGTGATTTTTAAGCAAATATATAAGATGTCGATAGAAGTAAAACAACCCGTTTTTTTAAGTAAACAGTTGTTGAATAATTTTTGTAGCCTCTGCGAAAATTCACGCATTTTTTTTACTGACATCATATTTTTTCTTTGTTTCTAAGAACCGATCTTGAAAAGCAGCAGATTTTTGTAATAACAATGACTTCAGACAAGAATGGAATCCCTTGGAGTCCTGTAGAGTTCCGCGGAGATCCGTGGAGTTCCGGAGTTTGCTATTTTCTCCTTGGGCTTTACACTTCGCAATAAGGTTTGCAGTTCGACTACTCGAGAGTCTCTTTCAGTTGAGCCGATATTTCTTCATATCAAGAAATCACAGCTACGTTGACTAGGTCATGTCTTGAGAATGGAATACAAGAGATTTGTTTAAGAAATTTTCTAATCTACACCTGAAGGTGAAAGCTCAGCAGATCGTTCACAAACGAGGTATACAGTTACATAATCCGCTTATGTAAGGAATGATTGAGATTTTAAAGAACCGATGCAATTCTCGCGACGGAGAATCAACATCAGACGAAGGATCTTCTGCGCGGGACCAAACTCTCAAACCGACAAAAAAAAGAGAAAGGAAAACGAATCAAAGAACAAAAGAATAGATGAGAAGCCTTTACATTGAATCTGTCACACGCAATTAGTTTTATCTCACCGCACGTATTGAGAAAAAAAAATCGTTTTTTTTCACTGCATGGTCTACTACTATTTTTTATTGACAGAATAAAGGAGAGAAGCCTACAAATTAAATGTTTCATAGGTAACTGGCTTTGTTCTCCGTATTATGCAAAAAACGTTTTTTTTCTCGCTACGACCTACGTGTGTTTTTTCATGGACATAATCAAAGAAAAAAGCCTATACGTTAAGTTAGTCACACGTAATTAGTTTTATCTCGCCGCATGTATAGAGAAAAAAAAACTTTTTCTCTTGCTATGGCCAACCTGTATTTTTGCATACAGAGAATAAAAGAGAGGAGCCTATAGCTGAAATCGGTTACACGTAAGTAGTTTTATGTTGTCAAGAATATAGAGAAGAAGAATATTTTTCTTTTTTGTTTGAAAGGACTGCATTTGTTCATATACAGGATAAAAATGTAAAACCTTTAGATTTCATGCGCAACCTATGAGTAGTTTTCGGTTTTCACACGTATAGTAATACAAACAGCTTTCTCAGCTGTACCGTCTGCCTAAATATTTCTTATGGACAGCATAAAAGAGAAGAATCAATACATCAACTCACTCAAACGGAAATAACGTATAATGCAAAAGTAATGGCTAAAACTGTCCGTCCATATTTCTCTTCGAGACAAGAGTGCTGAAAGAAATGTTTTTACTAAAAGCTGGAGCTTTTTCTCCTCTTTTGAACAGTGTATGACTCATACTTGGTACACATTAGTAATTGAAAATGAGGTAAGAAAATCTAGAAACAGTTGTGCAGCAAATTTACAACATTCATGTGAACTCGTGGAAAACATCTTGTTAATAAACAGTTAATGCGATCTTTGTGCACGTATAAAAAAGATCTTGTGATACGGTGGTTACTTCGACATTTATTATATCATTAAAAACATCTTGTAGATCAGAGACCGTCACAGGGCATGGCAAACATTTTTGCCCTGTGCCAAAAAAAGAAAAAAAGTCTGATTCTAGTTTAGTTTTTCTGATTAAAAAATCGATTAAAATGGCAATGTTTTTATTCAATTTTAATCTAATTATTTCATGCAATTGCCTTTTCAAAAATAAT